GGGGCAGCTCCAGCCCGGGGGGGGCGGCGGCGGGGGCTGGTTTCTCTGGGGGCGGCCGCGGCGCGGCGGGGGCTTTGACGAGGTTCTGTCTTAAAAGTTCCGCCTGTTCTTTTTTTTTGTGTGTGTTTTGCTGTATTTTTATAGAGCCCCGGGATTACCTCCGGGCGTGCGGCGAGAGCAGCTGCGAGATTACACGATGCAGATGAGAGATTACGTTGATTCAGCAGATTGTCCTGTGCGTGTCTGAGAAAGATCCCAGCCGCGGAGTTAAGGCTCCCCATCCGCTGTGGTAAGCTGTGGTTGAAGTAGAGCAAATTAACTCCATACGAAATTAAAGGCACAAAAAAAAAGGGAAGTAAAAAACCCAAACAAACAAAGAAAAAAAAACAAAACACCACCCCAAAACCCCAAGGTTAAGAACATGCTTTATATGGACAAAATAAAAAAACATAAATATTTAAATTCAAGTTTTATCTGTTCTCCCCCATATACTGGGCTGCTGTGGGACTGGCAGCTGTCAGTTGTATTGGTAACTGATCAATATCACTGATCAATTGGTGTTGGCAGCAATCACTCAGTTACTGCTGCCCAGATGATGCTCAGTTTAAAAAATCAAAACCAGTATTATGAAGGCTAGTTACGTTAGGTGCCTGATGACCACCATGTCAAAGTAAATATCTAAACTCTTATGATACGTGCTTTTAATTATCTCAAAAATACTTACTGATACTGGTCTATTTTATTAAACATCCACGTGCTAAACTCTCTCCTTGTATGCCAGTTTGAAAAATGGATTTTTTGAGTTCTGATTTCTGGATCTGAGATTACTGACATCTGAGAGCTGTCATTCTGATGGACATGATACCTGCCCCTGAGATATGAAAAAAAAAAATTGATGATGCAAGGAGAACCTTTGAATTGTATTACATTTCAGCTGATTTCTTAGAGAGTTTAGGGATGAAACCTGGGAGTAAAAGTGCCAGAGAAGAAATCAGTAAACACACAGAATGAAGGAACAATGCTGTGGGTTGTTTTTTTTTTCCAAGCTTTATAATGTGTCTTTTTTAAGGCAAATGTCTTCTAAAATTTATTAATTTCCCCCCTTACATAAGCATTCACAAGCTCAAGACTGGAATTTCTATCTCAAAGCTACAAATATGTAGTATTCCCCTTTAAGTTTTCCCTTAAATTTACTGTAATGCCTTAAACGGTGATTTCAACATCATGACAACAGTTTTACCAGCTGTTTTAGTATATAACTAATCTTAGACATATTGCTGCAGGCATTCCTAAGATAAGAGGACTCAGTCATTTGTTGTCATTTCAGAAAACTGTAATGGAAAGAATTTTGAACAACTGTAGTCAAAAACCTCACCTGTCAATCACAAGCATGTTGAGACTTGTGAGCTATTTGGCATCTCCCTTCACTTCTTGTCTTTTGTTAGACCTCCTTGACCTTGTGGCTATCTCATCTTAAAAGAAACTTGGAGGAAATTTAAGCAACATATTGTACCTGTACAAATTTTTTGTAGTATCTCATCTTGAATCTCCATTTGTTTCAGGCAGTTTGATGGATTTTTTTCTGAAGCCCGATGATTTTCTGTGCTAAAATCAGTGATGAGCTTCATATGGTAAAGGTGTTAGAAGTTATCACCTAGATAAGAAAATAAACAGTCTCTTTTTAACGAGACTTCAATGCAGTTCCTGGCTCTTGGAGAAAATAAGAGGTGTAGACTACTAACTGCTCGGTAGATATCAAGGACATATCTCAGAAGGAAATTCATGTTTAATTAGCCCACTAAGCAGACAGTGCAATTTTTAAAATTTCTTTCCCCTTCATTGTTTTCACGACACAAATATTTGAGCTCAGTATTGAGGCAGAATGAGATTTTACCTCTTTTGGATTTTAAAAAAGAATACATAATGCAGAAAAATCCCATTCGTGAAGACAGCTGTAAGGTGCAACTTAATCTAAATGAACAAACAGTGTATATTTGAAATAGCCATGTGACTGAAATGATCTTCTTTAATTTCAGGGAAAGTTTGTGTAGAGATTAATTTTAAGAATGTTTGAATAGCAAAGAACCATAAAACAAAACCCAAATCATTATTCAGTGCTTTCTTTTTATCTGCCTGTGCTCATTAAGACTTCCAGTTATCATCTTTTGGGGATACTGCATCTCATGGATGCTTAGCATAGTTAGCCATTAAAAGTACACTAAAATAAGTGGCAATAAGGATTCTGTTTTAAATAGATGGGGATTAAAGCACACAGGTTCATTTAAAGACAAGTCTAATGAGTTCAAAACACTTGTTCCAGTCAGCCCCTGGTATGGTCAGATACTAGCACATATTTTTGCTAAAGAGCTGAACCCACTGCAGTTTTGGGTCAGTCCTCACTTTGCCCAAAAATCCAATAGCAGTTCCCCCCCCAAAAAAGAAAAAAAACCTGTATTCTTTCCCCTACTGTTTTAGTGCCCAAGAAGCATGAGGGTGTACAAATTTTCTTGTGTGGCTCACTTTTATCTGTGGTTTCTGTGCTACAGAATAGTAACCCAATATTTCCATCACGTTTGCAGGGCTCAGTGTGACACACACACGCACATACACTTCATGCTTCATTCAGCAAAGTGCCTGCATATGCTTTAAACTTAGTGATTTAGGATATGGTTAACTCTAAACATGTGCTTTAAATCCCTTCCTAAACCGAAACCCTTGTGAACAGATCCAGACTATGAAAATAAAGATGCACAGGACTTTCAAGTAATTGAAGAGGCTGAAATAGTATCAATATATAAAAATATACACAGGTGACCTAACTTTAATGTATAAACTGTAATCTTTCAAACGATGTACTCTTGTTATTAATATGAGTTTAGATGACAAAGATGGGGGGAAAAGGGTAGAACTGATTGCAGCTTTTTCATCAAGCTGGCACAGAGCAAAACAGGCTGTATTTTAAAATTCAGCAAAACAGAGCAAAACAGGCTGTATTTTAAAATTCAGATTAAAATATTCTAACTTGATACAGAAAGTAATCTTTCCTGAACTCCCAAGATAAATATGCATGCAAGATAAACCTTCGAGCAGTCGTAGAATTGGATTCTTATTTTCTGTGAGCGCAGGCTACAGCAGTATCTTAGAAGTAAGACACTGAGTTTGGAAAGTGTTAGGTAGATGCACAAATGATCTCTTGTGTTTCAAGTACCAGTTCAGTGCACAGATAGACGTAAGCAAGTTAGAATCAAGTTTAGGAATAATTTCTGCTATAGCCTTTCATTTCCTTTACAATATATCAGTTTACTTTTCTAATGAGGTAGAGTCCAACGTACTCTTTTTAGGACACCCATACATAGTTAAACTTCTGTTCAGAGCACAACAAACACCCCAGAGAAAAACATTTACATAAAAATACACAACTACCTTTATGATTTACTTTTTTGGTCTTTAAAAGAAACAACAAACCACAACCGTGAATGCTGTCAGCAACATCTCTTCTGAAAGTGATCTTTAGACCCAAATTGTGATACTTACTATCAGAACTTAAAGAACAAGAATTGTGCATACACACATACATCCTCTTGGATTGTTTAGGACGTATTTTCACCCCCTTCCTTCACCCATTTCCTTGAATATGCAGGCAACAAAAAATGAAAATAAACAATTAGCAGTCCCATAGCCTTCTTCAAACCCTCTTGTTCTCTGTGGTCATCTTATAAACAGATTTTAGTACCTGTAACAGTTAGTCCTAATCCAAACAGCTGATGAGGTGCACAGCACATCCATTTAACACACTGATGCAGTAGAAAACTCTCAGCTTCCTCCAAGGAATTTTCTGCTGGATCGTTGGATTTAAGCACCTCCTGAAAAGGTTCAACTTGCAGCAGTAGCAGTACCAGAGAGACAGTGAGCTGCAGACCGACAATAAGATGAAGGAGATGCGGGATCACCTTTTTGCAGTAGCAAAATCAACTTATTTTGTCTGTTCAAGGACCCATATCCTAATTAAATCTGGAAAAGGAACTAGTCTGAAATTCATGTTATATATCCTATTTATATTTTCTGTTATGAGAGCTATTGGATATTATACAATTTCTAGGGACGTCCTGAGAAAAGGGAAAGTAAATTTAAAAGGACTGCTTGCTCCAGTAAAATACAAATTTAAATCAGATTTTTGACTACTGCATATTGTATTTTTATGATGCAATTTATATACACTACATTATGTAAATGTTTTGAATTCAGCAATTGAATTGTAGTACTGGTAACCCTAGAAAAATATGCAAGCAGCTCTGTGAGCATAACGGGGTGTTCCCCTATGCTGTACTTGGCCTCCTTATGCATGTTTGTCTTTGTTGTAACCTCACCCACATTGCACTGTATGTAAATTTGAAGCCTTTTTAACAGCACAGACCACATTGTAAATTTGAAGCCTTTTTAACAGCACAGAGAGAATCCAGATCTTGGCTGCTAAAAATAACCATCTCTCCAGGATGATTTATTTCTTTCAAAACCAGGATTCTAGTTCTGAAGTGAACCGTGTTGGTGAATTTCTTTGTGCCACTCGCTGTGTTAATTGTACTTGGTTGTGTACACAAAGCAAGCAAAGTTGCGTACCTGTGAGACGGCCCAAGAGGGCAGCCTTTGGGTGGAGACCTTGCTGTTACAGGGACCTTGCTGTATCACAGGGAACTGCCATTTCACATTTTCTTGCATGGACAGGACTTAAAAGAGCTGGGGCAGCCATTTGAGGTCCCATGAAAAACAGAACTGTCTGCTCATACAGTAAGTACAAATGAGCTACGCTTTTTGAAATGGGCCTCTACAGAAAGTTGCCTTTCTGTACTAAAAGCTGAAGTACAGGCAATTATTTCTGGCAGAGTTGGTAATTTATTTTATTTGATCATTTAATGGGAAAAAATCTTTCTGCAATATAGGACAGTTTGCTTAAATATTTGCTTTATGTACACATTAAAGTATAATTAAGAAAAAAAGAGCAAACATTAAAAAATAAGATTTATCATGTTGGGCATATTCAGTAACCTGTTCAGTACAAGAAAATTTGACTATACCTTTCAAGAAAACAGAATATAGCCATGTCAGATGTTATAGAGTTGGCCTGTCTACAGAATAAGTTTCTTTTTAGTGATGTCAAGTGAAGATTGGTTTCTGTCCAGGCAGAGAGTTTCTATTCCATATATTAAGAATAATTGTACAAGTCTTGACCTTGCTGAGTTCTGATAAATTTATGACCTACGTTACTAATTTCACCTGACATCAAGACATGAGAAGCACCCAAGTGAAACACACACATTCTGAGAAACTCCAAATTGGGAAGCTCTTGTTTGTGAAATGCAAGAATTCCACCACCAAGGTCTCACCTGACTGAGTAATTATCAGTCTGAGGACTGGTTCAATTGTATGCACTGACTTTCAAGTTACAAATGTCAATTTAATTTGCTAGCCAGAAATAGGAACTTAGATTGCCTAAAAGCATCGGGTATTACAATTCTGAGTAAGCATGGCAGTTTGAAGAAAGTATTCATTGTTTAAACATGCTTTAGTGTGAATTTGGTTTTACTCTGTAGCACTGCCCTTAGGAGTTCACTGAACTTGACAGTACATTTGAATGTTTGCCATTAACTGTGAAGTAATGGAACTTACATCTAATATAACAGTATATTACTGTCAAACAATTGTCTTAGCAGCAACACTGAAAGACGCAGTCTAACAGCTATTTCTTCAGGGAAAAAAGTCACTGGGATTAAAAATGAGATGCTAAATTTACATGTTTGTCTTTAGGTGCCGTTTTAGAAGAATAGCCTCTGATCAAGAATAAGAATTGTTGTTGGAATAATATGCGAACAGGTAATTTCTTCCAATTCTTTACGTAGATATGTATACATATATAATTAGAATTCATTAGAATTGCATTGATTTTGACAGCTGCCATTGGGATTGTCACAACAGCTCCATAGGGCTGTCTTCACTTACTAGTCAGCAAACTGGAGTTCACCAGTCAGTGGTATAAATTCTCTTCAGGAGATGTTTGCTTTGATCAGTCCTAATATTTCACAGTTCGTGACTGATTAGCATATAGTCCAAAGTTGCTTATAAAGTGAGGAAACATGCATCAGCCCCATTATCTCCAGTCAACGTCTCCCACTCCTCCCCCTTCCCTTTTTCCTTTTAGCAGACTTCAGGATTAGACAGTCTGTAATATTTTAGCCTCTGGACCAGGCAAGACAGTGGAGTTAACACGGGCATTATCACGGCTGGTTTGGTTCTTTGGGGGTTAAGGTGGTGTTGAGCCTTTATTTGTTTTTCTTTTTAATAGATAGGACAGTCAGGTTACAAAAGTTTGAATGCAAACAGACAAGACAGTTTAGGGACAGGTTTTCATGCATGTCCTCAAAAAGAATAATTGAGAATTAGTGTATTTAGAGGCTGCTGTTACTTCTGCCAGTTTGAAGTATTTGCAGTCTAGAACTAGAAAGAACAATCTTCCTCTTCCCTTCTCCTCTCACCAAAACCTGACTTTTTTTTTTAAAAGTAACTTTTGTGTCCTACTTCTCATTATTTAATCTCTCACATAGAAGGGTATATCAAAATACACACACATATATATAGCATAGAACATACGTTGATAGAGTTTCTACAGCTGTATTAATTGAAAAGCTAAGCCTTTTGTATTTTTTTTTAATTGCCTATCATCACTTGACTTGTTAAACTTTTCGATCTTGATTATGGTAGTCTGAATGTAGTATACATTTGACTTTCAAAGCATACAATTTGCATTTTTAGATTAATATACTGTATTGACTTACCTCATGAAAAATCATAACATATTCACCGATGCAAATATAATTGGGTTTTGGCTTGTATTGAACCCCTTCTGATTCTCCAGTACACTCTTTTGCATCATTGACTTTCAATTTAAAGGGATAAACTGTTGCTTTCATACTTTCCTGTCTATAAATACAAAGCTATAGCTTTCACATTTCATCCAAACCACTGCATTTCAGTAAAGTAAGTAAATTTTTATATTGTAGCAAAACCTGCTACTACTAGTAATTAATAATATTTTTTTAGTGTTAGAGCATCTTGAATTTTCTTTTGTTCTCTTTCATAATTCTGTCATCTACTTGACATTGTATTACTCTGCTAATTTCAATACGTAGTGGTAATACATACAAAATATACAAAACAGAATTAATGAAAAGCACAATTGGATGGAAAATGGGAGCACCTGATCTACCTGGACATAGAAGGTTCTTCAAGTATCTTATTACTGGTAAAATTAAGGTTACCATTTTTCTCTTAGCACTGGAAAGAAGTCTAGCTCTAGAAAGAAATAGCCTATAGAGAAATTGTCTGTAATTACAATCAAAAAGGTTTTGAAGGCTTCCTAGGCACTTTTTGTTCTCTCTCTACACCCCTCTCACTTTTCTCTAATAGTCCTGTGGTATTTTGCCAGAACAGAAATGTCTAGTTGGGCTGCAGAGCTGGTCCTTAACACACAGATCACACCATAACAGTGAGAGAATCACTCTCCCAAATGTTCTGAGACCTGAATGACTTGAGGCATTTAGTTTTCTTCAGTACTTTACCACTATGCCAGCGTGAGACAGGCCTATTTCTGCATAAAGATGAAGAAAAGAAATCGAACCATGAGGCAGGATTTTAAGGAGGTTGACAAGTTCTCATTAATTCTCATGAGAATTTATTTGAAGGCTTTCCACGAGCTTGTGTAAAGGGATTTTTCTATGGGGCCTACCTTCTGTCACCTCACTTTTCCAGCTAGTAGAATTTCAACAACACTTAACTCCCTCAGATGCTTAATAGAGTTGAGAGCAGGTCAAAGTTGAGTTTTGCTTTTTCTCTCTTGATTCTTATAATTGTGTAGCTATCCTGATACACTGTTCATCTATTCAATACCCTCCCTTCATTTAAGGAAGGATGTAGCCTTCAATTTAATTGCACTGTCACAGAAGTTCCACTGTTATGTTTGAATAGATTAAAATAAAATAATTTATAGTTGTTTAAAAACCTTCCCCTTTTTTTTTTTCTGGTACCATCTTATTCCTATTGCAATTATACTGTTACCCATGCAAAATAATTTTAAAAGTCTTTTAGTAGTGAACTTGCAGTAAATGAATTGCCAGTAGACAAGCAGAGAAAGCTTTAGAGTTAAAACAAGGTAGGGCAGAACACACATTGCTGTTATGCCACATCCCCAGCCAATGCAGCAAAGTCAAACATGAACAACCTTTCCAGCCATACCTCCCCCCTCCTCCAGCTCCCCAGTTCTTCTGCACACACACGAAAAGGCCCAGTTACCATATGAATGCTAGCACTTTGATAACATGGAACTAAATTCCTGTTGAGCTCTGTAGTATAACTGCCATCCTCTTAAAACAATATAAGGACTTTACTTGGACTCACATGTCAATATGCCATCAGAGAAATGGAAGACTTTTCGTAAAGATGGGAGAGTGGAATCACTAGAGATGGTCTAGAGGGTGGCAGGATGCAGGATGTTTTTGTTGCACAGGGTCAGAAGTAGCCAAGCTTTTCTGCTACTCCTAGAAAAGTCAGGTTTATTTTATATAGAAAGTTGCAGAAGTTCCCTCTAGGATAGAAGGTCTTGTGGCCACACTTCCTCCTTTTTTTTTTTCTGCAGGAATAAAAGGGAACTGCAACACTCTTTCCTGAAGGACAAATAAGAAAGTGAGAATCTTGATTCCCCTTAAAAAACACTATATAGAAAATAGCTTCTATACATAAATAATGAGACAGCAGAATTCTTATTTTCAGAACTTCTGGGAAAAATAACAGCAAAAACAACACCTAAAGTGTGAGGTAACACATGATTCTCACGCTTGTGATGTCAGGAGACTGCTCTATTTTCCTTCTGATTGAGCTATTGTGGTTTCATAAGATTGAAAAAAAATATGTTTATCAATATATATGCATATATATAAAATGAGTTACTGATGCATTAAATGTATCATAAATATATGCAGTCCAACTTCCAAATTTAGACTGCTTTCAAAAAGAGTAAAAAGGTACAGTTAGATATTCTATTTAAGCATAGAACAGACAACTGCTGCCATGACTGCCAACTTCAGTATTCTGTATTTGAGGTTTCACTAGAATGCCTAATTGTGTTTTAAACCCTAACAATTCATAGAGTAAGCATATTGAGTTAGAAAAAAGCGTTTCTGAGTTCTGTGCAAATTATATTGTAAAAGGCAGTCTTCTACTTAAGTGATGCTTCATAGGCTAGCTCTTGCACCCCTTGTTAAAAACTGGGGTGGGAAAACTTGGTGGTGTCCAGCTGCGCTATAATTCAGCTCTTAATACTGCCTGAAGCAGTCTCAGAACATCCTGGTCCACACCTGAGACTATTCTGAGTTTACTAGCACTGACCCATTCTCTCACAGAAGCTAGTTTAGTTAAAGATGGTTTGTGCCACTGGGACAGGACAAACCAGACTTCATAGAGGTTATCATGAGAATCACTGTACTCAGTACGGACTGTGGTCATGAAAGGCAAATGAAGTAACAGAGAATTCAAAAGTTCTTCTCACCGCAAGAGAATTTTGCATTTATTCATATAATTTAGGTGCTTCACATCTGATATGGTGATAAATTTGTCATATTTTTGCATATTGTTACATGAAACAATTCTGCAAGACAGATCGTGTTCTATGTTGCTGGCCTGCAAGGCAAGACTGATACTTTATTTGTTCTTAGGGTGGTTTTGTTTGTGTGGGGTGGTTTGTTTTGGTGTGGGGTTTTTCTTCGGTTTTTTTTAAGCATGCCAGCCTTACTGCCCAAAAGTATAATTGAGGTCTCCTTTTATTGATAAAAATACAGAAGTCTGTTTTACTCTGTGTTTGTTTTCATCTTATTTTTAAGATCATGAAGAACTCTGTGGCACCAGTTATGGATCTTTTTGTCTAAATGGAGGGATTTGTTATATGATTCCTACTGTATCCAGTCCATTCTGCAGGTCAGTGAAACTAAGGTTATTGTGTTTAAGTACTGGACAGTAGCTGTCTAAAGACTCTTTCCTCATTTTACTTCTTTAAGAAATTACTGTTAAAATGGTATATAAATGAAAATACCTCTTACCTATGGCTGTTCCAAATTCAGTAATTCATGCTAAGATTACTTATCTAGCTTGCAGAGACATGACAATATGAGAAAAATGAATTTGTATACTTGTGCAACGGTACTCATTTACGTATGCCATATTTTCTCCCCTCATTATAACACAGAAAGGAACAAACCACCCTTTGTCTTATGCAGTATAGACTGCAGGAAAGGCATTCAGAAAGGCAATGTACATTCCCAGGTTTTCTTCCAGATGAATTATATTGCAAAGATTCTTATAACATAAAATGGCCTGACCTGAACAAAATGAGGAGGCACAAAAAGGAATATAATCGTTTAAGGGGAAAAAAGAATGTAATTCAAGTGACAGCCAAAGACTACTTGATAAAGAAACATCAAGGCAGCAAACAGAGATAGTTCTTACACCATTCATTTATGGGACTGTTTTTCTTTTCAAAGCCCATGTTGCACACTGGAAAAGAAGCATTTCCTAATTTTGCACGTGGATGTGTTTCCTGCATAAATACAGCCCTATCCTTTTATTTTCTCATTTACCAAGACATAAGAAGATGCTAAATTAAATTCTAATTTTTCACGGTTCTGCATTTACTAATTCTGAGTTATCATTCATCAAAATAAATTACAGTTAATTTAATGGGCTTAGTTAACATAATAATAGGTGTTCAGACACCTATTACATACACTTAAGGATATTACCTTTTTTCCTTCCATGGCAACTTCTGCTCCCTCTTCAATCTTGAGGTACAACTAATGATAACTTGATGAAACAGTTGAAGAAGGAAACAAAATCTCTTCTAAGATGCCTCATTAAAGTATTTTTTTCTTTTGTTTGGGACAGTTCAAACATTTAAACATTTAAACTCATCTAGTAGATGAGAAGAGGCAATGTTGTGGTAAATGCTTATTGTCCCATGTCATACAATGAATCGGATCCAGAAGCGAGGATAAAGCTTGGAAATGCTGGATGATGATAATCATTTACTCTAACTGCTAAGCCTTGCAAGCTTATGCAATGTAAAATAAATACTATACACACAAAAAGTGAAACACATTGAAATACACATTGGTTTTTTTTTCTGGAAGGGATCCCATATTATTGATATTAAAATACTTAAATGAAAATGGAATGGATAGACTAAACAGCATCAGTTACACAATTTCAAAGCACCCTCTCAACTATTGCTAGACTGTGTGATGAGGAAGGTATATTTGATGCAATAAATGTAAACATGAAGTAACAAATATTCAGAACAGGAATATTCAGGAGCACAAGCTAGTCAGCATTGATAATTTCCACTTTAAAAGGCTCCAAATGAAGTCATTTGTAATTCAGGTACTAGAGGATTTTATAATCTGCTGAAGCAGAAAAGTAACATCTTAAGAGCATTTCTGTTATACTCAGGCAATCTTATTGCATTTATCAAGTATTTTTCTTCTGTATCTAGTGGTTGATTATGAAGTTATATGGGTTTAAATAGAAGCATTCTATTTAAGCATGTCCTCATTCTAAGCATGTTCCTTAATCAGTCAGAGAAGGCTAATTATAGATGAGAAAGGTTTTGTTTACACACAGATATCTCAGTAATCAGCAGTGATGTGAATAGAAACAACAGAAAAAACACATCACTGTTCAGCAGAATCCAGAAAAATATTTGGTGCTTTGGAACTTCAAGACTGGCATCATCACACAGTTGCGCAAAGGTTTTTTTTGATGCATGTTTCTGCCAAATCCCACCTAAAGCTTCCAAGGGTTCTCAGATCCATCTCCCACCAACAGAAAACTTGAATCAGTTTTAGAATCAAAGGCTGAATGATCATTACTACAGCATTGATTCAGAGGGGGAAATGGAACAAGAACAAACTGTAAAAATACCTTAAAACACATTTGCCTTGACATGCTACTTATTTACACAAATGTGTTGTGCTAAACATCGTTAGTCCAGATTACCTAATGCAACATCATTGGAAGTAATTTCACAATGTGTCTAGGAAAATTGCATCATTCTTTAGAAACGCGTATTTTGTAGCATGGTAACAAAGTAAAAGCCGCTGTTTACTTTTGGAATTTCAGTTATTTTGACCATTCAGAAATGGATATATACACACAAGGTAGAGATTTAATAGAAACAAAACATTAGTTGGCCCCACTCCCCTATGCAACATTAGCAGATTTTAAATACAGCTGACATGTTAGAACATGAAGTTGCTCAGCTGCCATCTTCCCTCATTCCTTTCCTAACAATGAGTTAATGTTCTCAGCAGCAAAAGACGCACCTGTCACCATAAGCAAGATGAGCTTCAAACCCAGGAATGCTCATGTACTAAATAAACATGCAGCAGAATGGAAAAGCAGCTGCCTCAGGTGTATCATAAAACACGAGGCTGAAAGCTGTTTGCCTCAGCACCTGATGTGCAGCTGTCCCATAATCATTAATTAATGCAGTGCAGAATTAAGATGATGTTGTCTGAGTGGAAGCTCTGGTATTTCCATTTTGTCTTACACATAGCAGATTTCTGAGAGCCTTCTTTCTGTATTTCAGACAAAATACAGATGGTATAAGAGCACACAAACACAGCTCCTCTGCTTCCAAGGGCAGTTCACACATAAATGAATAGTCACACTCTCTTTTTGAGGAAGGGATCACGTTCTGCAGAAGGCAATGCCTTCAGGCTAAGTACTCTAAGCCTAAGAAACCTCCACCCTGAAATTTCTGTGTATGGGTATCTCCACTTTCCCCTTCCCTTTGCTTCTACTCTAATCCAATCTCTCCTCCACCTTTTCTATCCTAATCCAAGAAATCCCACGCAAATTCCTTCTATCACTTTCTCTATATGCCATCCTTGTCTGGCCCTTTTTCTGAGATGGGTCCTTCATTCTTTTTTTCAAATGTCCTCATGAGTTAATATACTCACTGTGCTGTAAGCCTTCAGAATATACACACTGCAAGTTGCCAGTTAAGGGCTTCCCACTCATCTGGGCTTTTCTTCTTTCTCTGCCTCCAAAGCTATACTTTCCATACCCCAGGCTCTTCTGAAAACAAAGCACCCAATTAGTATTTTTCAATTCTGCTTTTAGCTTGAAAGGTAAGAACAAAACTTAGAATACAGACCAAAAGGACAGCAAAAAAAGAAGTCAATAATTAAGGCTTATTTTTGATGGGACATAAAATATAAAATGCAACATTATCATATGTGTTTGAAAAGTATTAGTGATCAGAACAATACCATTGCCAGATATGGTAAATCTTGCCACATAAACACATAGCTAGGGGAGTTCTAGGGGAAAATAACCCATTCTTTCAACTTCTCTGAAGTAGTAGCATGAGTTTCATTTTACTTTTTAGGTATATGAGTACAGCTTCAGAGTAACAGTTTTGAAACTCCTCTGAACACAAAACTTTTAAAAAAGCTGCTCGAGGCTTCCAGTTAACTTTGCCATTGCTTATTCGCTTTGGCTTTAAATTCTTTTTCATACTTACCAATTGCCCTCACAGTGTATGGACTTTTAGGAGCCTACTACAAATTAAAGGCTGTGGTGATTTTGAAGCTATCAGCCATGTAATCTGAATTGCGTTGACAAACAGATAACTTTCAGCTGTCTTTTCTGCTTAGAGCTTTCTATTTACATGCAAGTAATTTTTATACCAAGAAGCATACAGGTTTTTCCTGACTACTGTAGTATAATACTAAGCAATAGGAGTCTGTGTGCATATTTGACTCAAATCCTACTTCTGTTTTAAAATCTGTCAGATATTTGCTTACAACGCCCACCTTCGAGTCTGGAAGAGAAAGAAACCTTACCTTCTTACCTGAATAAGACAGGCAGGAGACACTTGCAGAGTCTCATGAACTGCATCTGCAAAGGAGACAGCAGAAACGCCCTGTGTTACTGGAGGGCTGTTATGCTGCTGTTTTAGTTACCGATCGGATTGAAAAGGATCGATACAATTGTGGTCACCTCCTGACATCTTATCCAATACAGCCTATTTCCTTCCACCTTGTATTGATGCTGATACTGGTAGTTTTGATTAATATCCTATGCTGAGAGATTCTGTGGGTTTCTTTACCCACATGTTAACCCATATGTTACTGTTTTGTCTCCAGCATAGCTCCTCTAGTAAGTTTATATACAACAGTTGAGGCTGGTTTATCTCATCTGACAAGAGGTGTGGGCGTGTGTGCACGCGTGTGCAGGCATCTAGGAAAGCAGAAATCTGGATGTGATATGAAAATGGGAGATTCTAGTCTCACAGCTTTTTCTCAAACATTTGAAGGCTGTTTTCTTTCAACTCTGATTGAATTGGAAATCCTCATTTCTTAGAGGAAGAAAGACCTTTTTTCCCATTTTAAAAATCAATTTTGGAATGCTACATCCTAGGACTGTTTAAAGCCAACAGGCAGCATGTGCTGAAACAGCAGGCTAAGAGCATGCAGGTGATATGCATCAGCAACACCTGGACTAGTAACAGCAAGATTTAATTAATGTAACTCCCTCTATCTACAGCCTAGAAGCAGGCTTCTCTGTCTTCTGCACTCATTCAGTCAAGTGCAGAAGCACAGCTGCCTGCCATATTAACAACTGCAAGTGTGTCACGCTTAACTTGTGCTCTCCTTTCAGGCATCCATTACAAGTAGATAAACTGTGAGTTGCCACTGACTTCTAAGGCTGTGTATAATAAGAGTGACCACCTCTAGGAGACACTAAATAGATACCATCAGTCTGGATTATGTTCATAGTCCACATGCTTGTTAGAGACTGCTTTACAGTCTTGTCTGTGGTCACTGTATGTAACTCCAGTGGAATTATTAGAGCAATGCAACAGGAAAAGCAAATCTTCTGAGTTCCACTGTTAATTACTGAAGTCTGCTTAGTTTCTGTCTCACCAATTCTAGGAAAGGACATACAGCAGAAGCCTTTCTCTCTCTTGGCTGTCTTAAAGCATTTCAGTTGCTTCTATATTTAACTTAGTCCTTCACCTGTTTGTAAATCAGCACTGATGACTTCATGAAAGCTTGTGCAAGCCAATATTTGAACATTTGGATTTTCAGAAATGCCTTAACTGTAGCAGAGCCTGGTGGCAGGGTCACGTTAGCTATAATTTTGATTATTTAAATGTAACCAGAAGATATATCATATCAATTTTCCTGTTTCTATGAAAACCTCCATAATTTTTAGGTTATATGACAGTATTTTCTACATCACAACAGTTATCTAATCCTAGCCTTTTACCTAATCCTATACACAACTCTCTTCAGTGCTAGAGGGACTGTCTTTTCTTTCTCCTGCTTCATTCTTCTCTTTAGGCTACTGACTTACTCCCGTTACACTCAGTCTTTAGAACTTTTCGATGAGCCTTAGTTTGATGCCAAAACCTATTTATTTTTTCTTCCTGTATCATTTTAGCCTTGCATTATTCTCTAGTTTTCATTGGTATTCAAGAATACTTCTATGAATTTTATATTCCATTTTCTATCCCTGTTATTCTATTCAGCTCTCCAAAGCATTTCTCTCTCACTTGCTAGAGAACAATGCCCCACTCAAACTACACTTCTATTCTTAAAGTATTCTACAGTATTTCAGAAATAGGCCACTGAAATGCCACTGTACTTAGAGTAAATATCTGGAACATTATCTCAAGCAATCAGAGCAGTCTGCCTACCCTTCCTTCTCCCAGCAGTCAAACACAGTCACTTTGAAAAGTCTCACATTGCCCTTAGTAAATGGTGGCTCTTTGCTCAGGTGCACATCTTTAATATATTATGATAATTGACACTTTTTCCTAGTGTCTAAATCTTGCACTTCATTTCCAAAAGCAAAGAATTAAAAGAAATGGTAGTAATTCCTTGTGCAACAGTTTAGACAAGTATTCCTGAAGGAGTGGTCCATAATCTACAGACAGGGGTGCTGGGAGTCCCATCAAGCATGCACGGTGGTGTGCTCACCGTGATCCATTTGTCTCTTGTCCCATTTAGATATGCCAGACATCTTGCTTTCTTGGCACTTCCTCCCCACTCTGCTTTCTTATCCCTCATCTGAAATTATACCTCGCAGCTGCCAATGGCAGTTGAGAACTTCAAGTATGTTACCAAGTTCAGCCCATTTTTCTCAGCTGGAGCCTGAAATTGCTTATGTCACAGATTATTATGACTTCAGTGCCAGAAATAGCAAGAAGGAGCAAGATCTTTAGTAATACAAATAGAGAGAAGCAAATTTGCATATATAAAAGCTACATGCAGAATGTAGTTATTGAATGAAGTGCTTTCCATTTTCTGTAATGCAATAAATTCCTTAAGAAAACTTAGCAGAGTAAGTGCAAAATACAAGACAAATGAAGATTAGTTTAGCTTCAACCTATCTGGTTTTGACTCAATATGAATTACTAAGCCATTCATTTTATTTATTTTTAATAAAATATCATACCGTTTTACTGTGGTAAAACACCATGTTCATTTCAAGTCTTTCTTCAGAAGTTTTCGGAAGCTCAATACATAAAATAAGCATAGTAGAGAGACTTTTGGCTAGGTCTCTCCAAAAGAGGGTCATTCACCAAGCATGTAACATGTTCTGGTATGAATTATTACACTGCATAAATTACTTTTGGAATTTAAGATGTACTGTGTCTCAATGGACCCCCGTTTCCTTGATCTATTTAGCTGAGGGTACTAGCTCTTCAACAAGCAAGCTAGAAAGTTACATGAAAGGGGGAACAGAAAGCTGTGTGAGAACCAGTGGGATGACACAGGTAACCCTGAAGAGGTGGATTTAATTAATTAAATCTGCCAGTGGAGGAGACAGATTTAACTGTGAAGTACACCATTATGAAGTATATTGCTAATCCAGTGAATGTATTATGAAAGATATGGTTTGATGCATGACAGCATTATGGATCAGAACATAAACTCAATGCCCAGGATGCCCAATTCCCTTTGTTCCAAAAATAAGAGGTTAGTGGAAATTCCATAAGGAAACTTGCTGTGAAGCAAATATAAACCTTGAATTACGTCATAACAAGTTTTGTCCCCACTTAAGACCAAAAAAAGCCTTTGTGCTTTTCATATTAGATGACAAGTTACCATCTAATCTGAATAAAACTTGGTTTCCCAGGTGTATTGAGAATTACACAGGAGCCCGCTGTGAGGAAGTATTGCTGCCCAGCATCAAGTCCCAAACAAAAGGTGACCTGTTTGCAGTTTTATTGGCTTCACTTCTTCTTCTAGGAGTTCTTGTAATTGGAGCATTCTACTTCCTTTGCAGGTAAAAGTGCTTCAGAGTGCTGAAGCTATTTAATCAAGTAGAAATTTCTTCTGGTAATCATGTACTAATTATTTGAATGTAAAAGTATGTAATGAATTATCCATAAGGTTTGTATGGTTATTCAGCATAATTAATGTGGATGTCTTAACTTGTTCCTTGTAATATTTTACTCAGTGTCTTTTCTAAGCTGTTACTTACAGTTGCTTTGTCAAAAAAGCCATGTAGTACACCCATTTCTGAGAGATTTTACAGTCTACCCAGAGTTAATACTAACATTTTAAAACATTACTCAACCCTTATGTTGTCTAAAGGCTGAGAAGCAGAAGCAAATTACCAAAGCACTTAGGGATCAGAAACCATTCCACTGCATTGAAGTAGCAGCCAAACCAACTGGTGCCATTAGCTCTCAATTCCTTTACAGTTCCTCATTTAAAAAGGAAAACTAAGGAAATAATCAAATTCAAAAATAATTCCAGGTAGATTTTTACTAACTAACTAACATTTAGAACAAATCCGAGGGCTAACTCACTTATCCAGGATCATCCACGTTTGAGTAGCATGAAAACGTCAGTGCTAGACAGCAAGTGAGGCAGCTTTGGTTTTACTAGCATTTTAGGCATATTAGGACTTCGAATGAAAACACGTAAGCAGTTACTGGGGATTAATCCAAGTCAACTATTTGATGCTGTACATGCATCAGTACACTTATACCAAACCCAAACAAACTTATTGTCTTCCCTTATTCTCTGCATTTATGTACAGAAGTCAAACTCCTGTGTCCCCTCTTGTTTTTATAATACAGCACCTTTTGTCAGAGCTTCTTTTGTCATATACTGTTAATATGTATTTATGCCTTTATGAAGCAGCTTACAAGCCCCTGTAATTCTTAGCCATCACAGACTTGCAGCCTCTTCCTGTTACTCCTGTGCTGCATTTCTCCTTGGTTATGATAACCTAAGGTTCTTGCAATTCTGCTCTTTGCTCTCCCATAATCACATTGCCAAATCAGCCTCCCTGATCAGTGCCTTTCAATGAGCGACCTTTGGAATAGCTGGTCTAGCTTTACCTCAGCTGCTGTCATGGAAACCCACTGAAAGCCAGTTTTTCCCATAGCTGAATATATTTAGAAGAGATAGAGCAGCATTTGATAAACAGAGTTTGTATCAAAAAACACTTGTTGTAGAGGATACTCCTTTAGCAATTTTAGTTAAATTAATCCTGTCTTAGTGGCAGAATGCTACGGCAGTTGTTAGCTAAAGAACATTTTCAGATTACTATAAAGTTATTAGAAAAGAATACAGCTTTAACTAACCAAAGAAAAAAATCATTCAAGTCTCATAGAGGTACAGAGAGTGTATCTTTAGAAGTAAAGCTTGTCTCTGAGCTTCAGAGAGGAGAGAATCTCTTAAAAGATCCCTTTCCTATTGTGTACGGTAAAATTAGGGGAAATCTGGAGACACAATCTACTGAGCTTTACTGTCAGAGAGCCTTGCATTGCAAAGTACAGAAGATTAGAAGAATCATAGAATCATAGAATGGTTTGGGTTGGAAGGGACCTAAAAGATCATCTAGTTCTAACCCCCGAATAATAACAGCAATTACGGGTCTGTGCATGTCTCTTATTAGATAGTTGGAAGATGAACCTCAACTACTCTATTTCTTTATAGGAAATGAATTTACTCAAGCTTTACTTAACTGGCAGAACAAGGAGTAGGGCCTCTTTATTAGCAAAATACCAACGGCAGCAACTCAGTCTTAACGTAGTTGCCCTTGAACCTATCTTACACACAAGAGTAGCTTGGGAAATCTCATAAAATCATTATCAACTTCTTTAATATAAAGAAAAGAACACAACTGTCTAAAATTTTTTTGTCTTACCTTTACACTTTGGAGGCTGATGTAGCACAATCATCTTCTACTAGAGAACTCATCTATAAAAGAAACACTTTACTTCTAACAGTCCTTATCTCTTGACTGAAGTGACCAACGTACAAGAGGAGTCTCAAGTGGATACTTTAATCTACTCTCCTCTTTTCAGCTATATAAACAAGAATTATTGCTAAGAGCTGTCATTAATATAATTTTCTTTTCCCCCAAACTTGATCTACCACCTCTGTCATAACATTCTGGAAGAGGGTGGAACTGGGGCTCAGAACTGTTAGCTGAGAGTTGCACCAGCTTTGATTTGTCCTCTTGATAGACTATATTGAATTTAAAATGTTAACAGAAACATTGTGCTATCAAGTTTCCACTATTACACTTTATTAACAAATACATTTGACCCAGAATAAGAAAGCAGAGAGTTTTTTCCCCCATATTGTGTGAGAGTACAGATTTCTCTGGCTCTTTCAGCCCAGGATTCTAGTGCAGTTTTAGTATAGAGTAATGCAATCTGGAGAAATGCAGAAGAGGAAATATTAATTGCAATTTAGGATACAGAAATTGAATTCCTAAAATTATTCATCAAATCTTTTAGAATTTAGGAAATCAGTGCTCTGTTACCTTGTTCCTGTCATCCCTTGTACCCCACTTCCTTTCCAAGTTTTCTTCCTCTCAGGCTGCTTGGGGAAGATTTCAGGACCAGGCATATGCAAGTGCATTTAAAGCTCCCTACAAACAAATCCATTCAGCATACAAGGGTGGAGAGAAGGGATTTCATTGCTCTGCTTATAAAACCAGATCATAAGTAATGGTGAAAGTAACCCATAAAAGAAAAGGACTGCATAGGAAAAGCTCTGGGTGAACAGTGCAAAATAATTCTCCCTTTATATTTAGCTGAATCATCACATTTTTATCAGCCGAGGATTTATTTTTTCCAATCTGGCAACAATCTGCTGTTAAGCTGATTTCATGCTGTATTTGATTATGCACTAGGGTTCATCAACATGGTCTGGGAAAGCAAACCTACAAGGAGGAGGAGGAGGAGAGAGAATCAAAGATAATGAAAAAACAAACAGTATTTGAAATGGCTAGAGAGTGATAATGATGAAAAGTAGACGAAAATAGAGGAAAGGAACTGAAGAGCTGAGTGAAAGGAACAGCAGAGAACAGAGGGAGGGAAAAGTGGTCAAGGACTGGTGATGAAAAACAGCAGTTTAGAACTAGCAAAGATAAACAGTACTCCAGGGTTAAACCTCCCACTGTTACCAGAACCTGCAGAACAAAAGGCTACCGTATGTTGATAGAATATAACTATTTAGGTAGTAAAGGGAATAGCTTTAATTTACTTTTTGAAAAAATGATGAGGAATGTTGTTGCAAAGAAAAGACTATGCTTTTATGTGTCCTCAAAGATGAGTATTGTAAAATAGTTTTATATCATGTTATAGGAATTCATAAGAACAGGACTGTCCACACCCAAAAATAATGAGAAAACCAGTTCAGTACATTAACTTCCTTTTATCAAGTTTTCTCAAGGAATGTGTTGTTTCATAGGCAATAACCATCGCTCCTCTGCTAAAGGGGAAATCCTGGTTGTTAAAGGGCATGCTCAGTTCTGTTTGCTACATTCCTGTAAAAGCTCAGCACATAAAACTATTGCTATTTCTAACTATTTGGATTCACTAGAAGATACGGCATCATGCCAACAACCATATTTTAGCAAAGAGAGTAAAATATTTACATTATGAATGTAAAACTTACCTATATGTGTATATATTTATAAAATCAGAGCTGGTTTTATGAAAGTGATTTGCTATTTGACAGTGAAAAAATGTCTTGGATTTGATTAGGCTTCTGTGTGGCTTCAGGCTCAGGAGCTGCAGAACGTGTTAGCAGAGCAGCGCATGAAGGTAGAGCAAATCCAGATCTAGCCACTCTCTATCTCTAAACAAACACACACACACCCCCAGGCAACAAATGGTAGGTAAAGCCTATTGTTTTGACCTGGGGAAAACAGGAAAGTATGCAAAAATCCTTGCTGTTACATTGTTACTGAGGTACCAAATGGCATATTTTGCTACAAGCAATTCACCTGTCAGCACAGGTCCATCTGGCTGCCTTTTTCCAGAAACATATTGTACCAGGGTTACTGGAAAAGGAATAAGAAAGGTAGCTGATTACTGTAGATGCCACACAAGCCAGCTTTTATTTAAAAACAATGTAGAGGCCTGAATGCCACACAGAGAGCTTAGAAGAACAGAGAAAACCCTAGTGAAAACTAAAATAAGTGTGCAATTTATTTATATATTTTATTTCTTTATACTTTTTTTTTTAAGTCCGTGTTGAAATGCCAAATTACCTGTAAGAGAAGTGTATGTTGATGAACAGGAACTCGGCCAGCCAAAACAACAGGGTCTAGGAATAAAGCCATGTAAGCTGTCCAAGACAACAGACTTTGTGGAGGAGTCAGATCACCACAGGACACAAACTGGACAGAAAGGAGAATAGCTCATGGCTCTTCTCAAGAGACAGCAAGAGATAAGCTCTATTTAAAAATCTGTTTCTCCTCAAGAAAGTGTGGAAAATATCACATTATTGAAATTTAACTTACTAATGCTAAGAGAGTTAATGATAAATTAAGTAATTTTGTGGTATCTACTAATTGCTTAAATAAAGGCCTAAGAAATCAGACAAACAGAACATTAACTTCAGGAGAGAAGCCATGTAGTTCTGCGTGCTGTTTCTGCCTCTGATGTCTATTCTCCCTCAAATACATGCTTCTCAAAAACGTTTAGTATTCATTAGAAAGTAATTGCAGAAGATCCATTTAACTTTTTTTCAGTGAAAGCACCATTCAATTAATTCGTCTCTTCCCTGATAATTTTTTTTCACTCAGTGTGTTTTTGTGTTTTGTTTTTTTTTCCCTCCCTGTTGCCTCTTTGTTTCTTCTGGTCAGGAAAGCTTCCATCCCAAGGACGAGTTCTTCAGAGTGTGGTGCCAACCTGGTTGAGACTACAACCAGCAATGGCTGCAACAGTGAGTACATTTAAAGTTAAATGCCACTCCGTAAGGCAGACAGGGGAGGAAGCTTTCTATAATTAACAGCATGTGTTTTGTTTATTTTTCAGAAATAATAACTGAGTAAAGCATTAGAGTGGAACAATGGTGGGAAAACATCATGCAGAGGAACCCTAAGAATACAGCAGTGATAGAGGCTGATGTGGTAAGGAAGATGAGAGAAGAAGGTAGACTGAAATAGGAAGCTTGCTTGTGTTGGAGAAGACTGCAACTAAGACATAGATAAACAGTTGCACTTATTAGAGCTTCTATGTGTTTTTAAAGGTATATCAAATTATACCAAAATCACTACAATTTATGTTTGAATTTTGTGAGATTTTTTCATGACAAGTTACTGTTTTCAGTAATGCATGGGTAGAAGCATGAGATAATTTTGGTTTTTACTGCATGGGAACTATGAAATAATCTTTTTCACTTCACACAGAATCTCAGATAATCATAGGGGCTTTAGCATGAGGTAATAGTTTGAATTTTTCTTAGAATTGTCCTTTTCACAGGATCACCACAAAGGAGTTGAGGACTGTATTGATTCAATAGTTTCAAAATTTATACCTGTGATGCACGTCCAGAATTTGGCTTGTTTCAGATACACTTACCAGATGTAGGGAAAAAAGTACCTTTCTCTAGCCAATACCAATTGTTTTTTTTTTAATGTAAGACAACATGAGGATAAAGTATCACTGCTAGTGTACTGCTCAGCTTCCTGGCACAAGATTTCAATTCAAATTAAAAGAGAAGAGATTGGTAATGGTTAAAAGAAGTTTACTAGGCAGAGTATTTACCCTTTGTTTGGTATATGTCCCTAATATTAAGCAAGACACCTTCCTTGATGGTTTTATTTTTGTCTTGCTGCCTTCTGAAAATCTCACTACTGAGGGAGATTTAAACCTTACCTTAAATTTTCCAGTTGATATTTCAGATACTAGAAGTCAGGAATTTTATTCATCAGGTCCATTCCTGACACAAAATAGTATCCAGCCAGGTGTCTCGGCTGAAAAAGTGCTGCTCTCTCTAAAAATTTATTTGTTTTATGCCCATTTGTTGATCACACCAGTATATTATTTATCATTTTCTGGTTCCTCACAGGATTCTCTTCCTCAAACAAATAGAGGCCAAATGACATGGTCTGTCTCTCTTTCTGCCTTGACAACACAACCAGACTGTCTTGTTAGTCAGAGGCATAGAAAACGTGAACTGAACAATTTTCTTTTCAACTCATTTCTAGCACTGGAGGTTGAAACCAGCAAAAATCAGATATGTTTCCATCACGGCACATTACCTAGCAGCTCTTCATATGGGATTTATAAGGTTGTACTGAAGAGAAAATTAATTGAGAAAAGTTCAGGAATTGAAAGGGGAGAAAATGCAGCACGCAGATTTCTTATCTCTGAAATAAAATATTTTGAGGTGTATAAAAATGTAGGTGCAAAGAAAATGTTGAATAAGCTTCTATTCCTAGGATGTCTACTACATGCTCTAGTGTTAGAAAAAATAGCATGTATTTTACATCAGTGTAGAAAAATTTCCAGCAAGATAGAGAAGAAAAGGCATGCTGTTACAATGTATAAGGTAAGAAGTCAAAGAGAAAAACATATTATAATAGCTACTAGGAAACAAACCAGAAAAATGCATTACCTTCTGAGGACTCACATCAGAGAAGTTACAGTTGAAGTTAACACTCAGCATCTGAAGGGAGAATCTGAGGCCACCAAATCAAGTAGAGGATCTGATCCAGAGAAGCTCTCGATCAAGTTATATGAAGCACTAAAAGATCACCTTCTCCTCACATTAACTGACTTTTTATGTTATTTTCTGGACTTCAAACCTTTAGCAGATACTCTGAAGGAAGCTGGTAATATTGTTTTAAAGGCTAGGAAAGAGAAAGGTGATTTTTCATCAGATAGGGACATGCCCCTGTTAGATACAGAGTGTAGGACACTCGTAGCAGTACTGGCAGCTGCATTAGAATCAGCATTACCTAAAGTACTTGTCATAGCCTCAGTGAAAATTGGTCAGAGACAACTGCTTTTAGATAACTGCCAGATATTAATCACGAGACATTCAGACTTAACGTTAAAGTTTGGTATACTATTTTCATTGAGAAAGGAAATATTAATAGATGTAAGAAATAAATGGACTGAAGTAGTACTCTGTAAACCCTTAGAACCCTCCCAGCTTTCTAGACAGACAGGGAATTGTAATTCACTGTTACCAATCTTGTTTGCATTATTAAGGAAACAATTTGTACAAAAAGTGAGGATGAATAAACTAGAACCACGTTTAAATGCAAACAAGTTGATTTATGAAACAATGTTATCTTTGAAGGAAATCCCATTAGCAATTCAGAGTGCTTCAAACCCACTGCATTTGAGAACATTTCGGCTTCTAAAATTAATTATTTCAGTTCACAAGCTTTGTGAATTTCATGTTCAGGTCAAAATGAGATCAGGCTACAAATTCATTTTAAGGTGGTCAAACGCCACAGAAAGTACCGGGTAGCCAACAATATGTATAATTTAACAAAGTAGTACAACACTCTTCTAGCAATGCTTGCTTACAAAATTAAGCAAGTACTCCTGTGAGCAATAAAGCTAAGGATACACCAGTTCCAGTGCATCAGATCTTGTGCTTGGGGTCACTGGAGTCTAAAAAAGCATTATGTGTAAATGCAGGGATGAGTAATAATGTCTCTCTTCTCTGCTTGACTCCTGTTTTCATGAAACAAGATCTCCTGTCTTTAAAATTACCTCTCCACCAGCTGAAAGATTATGGGGGGAAGAAATGGGGAAAAGACTAATTTCCTAGGAACCTCCATTAATATCACTATTACGGCAAAAATTCTTTTATACCTGAAGATCATGTTCTCTTTCCAGAATCTTGTAGCAAAGGTCTCTTCTTAACATGTTGCCTTTTGATCACTTGCACAACAAAATGCCAGCTGTTAGCAGGAAACCTTTTTATAGACCTAAATAAGAGGTTGCTTATATGTTACTCAGTATATAACTGTTTCATTAGTAGCCCAAACAAACACTGGGGCAAAGTACAATGAAAGGAGAAGAAATGGCTGTTCAAATGAAAACAAGAGGATTTCTCTTGTGCTTTATAGTCTTATGATTTATATTGTTAAATATTAAGTGGGAAGACCAACAGGAAGTCCATTTGGTAGCACTTCCCATTTTAATGTTGTGCAACCCCTTCACAATTTACTGCACTAAAAAATCCTATTTCCTTCCTGGCCCTGCATTTTTAAAGAGCAACAGAGGGGCTCTGATAATATGACTCAGTCCTTTGAAAAGGGAAAACAGAGAAGAAATAGGGGAGAGAACTTGCCACAGTAGAATTGGTGTCTGTGCTGTTGCTTTCTGTTGCGAGCGTTCTGACGAGGAGCTGCTGAACTGACCGGAGTCCAGGCAGAAAGGGAAAGCAGTGAGTTTACCTAAAAGGCTATAAATTCCTGTTATGTGTTCAGCAAATGCTGTATCAAGAGATACATACCTAGAAGGGACTGCCCAGGGAGAGCTTTAGCCATAGGTGGTTATGGATTTAACATGGGACACCCAACTCCTCTACGTTAAAAAACCAACCAAACCAACCCCCTCAGTTATGTTCCTTTGGTATTTAGCATCCTTTCAGATATAAAGGACATCAAGCTATTTCCAGTAAAAACTGAAAAGACTGTGGGTTAGTTTGGGCGAGTTTTCACTTGTACTATGACCATACTCAAACTCAGAGATATTAATGAAGATGTATCTGTATAAGTATGGGGTAAAAATGCAACTGCATTGTGTTATGATTCTCTGGCAATATTATTAGATTACCAGGATGCGTATGTTCGCTGTACCCCTCTCAGATATAATGCTTTTTGTTGACGTCTGTATCTTAAATGAAGAGATGTAATATTCCTTTACCTCAGATAACATGGAATAATCAAAAGAATCCAGACATAAAATTACTTGCTTTTTTGGTCAAGATTAGTGAAAAAAATGCTTCAAGAAAGTACTGCAGTATTTCCTACACTTTGAGGAAAAATGAGCAAACAAAAAAACCCAAACATGTGCATGTCTGAAGATGTTCAAAAAAAACCACAAAAGCTTTTTCATTATTGTATGTAAAATGATCTGTTTGTGCTTATCCAAAGTCTGTCCTTGTTTTGCTTGTGACGGTAACTTGTTCAGCATAATCTGTTTGCAATGTGAGAGAGCAATTTGAAAAGCACCAAATAAAAATGTTGTGAAATCCCGCTAGGCAGGTTGCCACTCAGCTCCGTGTTTGGGACTGATACTCCACAAAACCTTCTGCCAGGAATTATTTCTATAGCCAGCTAAGGGCATGTAAACAGAACCTGCAACTGTAAAACCTGAAATAACAAGAAAATAATGCTGTTTTCATCCCCCAAATTAAAATGAATTCCTAACACTTCTAAATGCATCTCTCTGTCAGTTTGTGTAACATTTGAGCATTCTTTTTCTGTGTACGTTAAAAGAGACTGTTTTCAAATTATCCTCTCAATGTAAGTAATGATATTTTGACTACAACTTTTGTACAGGCAAATGATGGGCTGTAAAAATGTAGCAGAGCATCCACTGGTGGCATTTTTTAACAGGGCTCGGTAATTTGAATCTATGTTGTACGTTTTCCATCACAGACTTTCCTGCCGTTTCAAACTATTCAGTCATTTTCACCAGTGCTGGAGATTCTCAGAGAGTTCCTCTTTTGAGGGGATTAGTGTTTGCTCTCAATTTTAATACTGACAAGTCAGCTAAGACTAGCTTATTTTAAAAAAGCTGTTTTTAACTCTTATAGCTGTGAAAACTTATCTTGAAAAGGTGACAAGACTGCCACTGATTCAGTGATATGAATCACTCCAAAACATTTATTTTGAGCAGTCTGTGTTACCTGCTAATCTCCATGAGGACCTAGCTGTGAAATGTAATGATGGCAATTTATAAATTGTTTTCTAAAAGTGTTTAGAAGCACAAATCCCATTGATTTGAAATAAAAATTTTGCTCCTAAATTATCAAAGCTCTTAAAAAAAAATTCCAATTATGCATTTGTCTGCTAATAATTCTAACATAAATACCCAGGTAAAATGATTTCTGAATAATCCAAACCTATGCCTTTCCTTTGAAAAAAGAAGTTTCCAGTTTTTCACTGTAGCTATGTTTGTGTAGAAAAACACCCGACATTGTTATGAAGTGGTGGGAGGCATAAAGGAATCAGCACGAGGGTCCTACAATGTTTGAACTCGTATTTGTTTGACCTAAAGCTGTGGTACAGGACCAAGGGGCACCCCCCGTCCCCCCGAGGTGAGCTGCCTTTACCTCACTGCACATCTCTGAGCCTGTAGTTCAGGAGACACGTTCCCAGACAGAACACCCTCAAGGCTAATCCGAGCCCTTCCGAAACAACAGCCTCTTCTGGAGCCTGTCTCTGGCTAAGAAATGGGATTAGGAACAGGGAACATTTCAAGTAAGAAATTTGATAATTAAAGTCTAATGTTTATCTTACATGCTTTTGTGTGCACAAAGTACAATTGCTGTATTAAGATGGAATGTATTTTAGAGATCCACTGCAGACTCATACAGTAAAATAAAATATCTTCCCCATCATATAATCATGAAAAATAATCATTGGGGGAAATAATTATTTTCTTGATATTTGCAGAGATTATAAAGTAAAAGACCCTACAAAAGACCACTTAAATTTACATATGTAATATCTTCGTTACTTCTAACTATGTAAACTTCCAGACCTCAAACATTATTTTCCTGTATCATTCTGCTGAGTAAAACAGAAGTAGGCATCTGAATAGCAAATGTTTATTAACTTACTCTCTGTCATTTAGCCAGACACTATTGATTCAAAAAACTTTGCCTCATACTAGTTGGTGTATTATATGAAAATTAATGAACACCCCTAGAGTTACTTCCCATAGAAGTTCTCAATTTTTAGAAAGATAAAAGTGAATTACGAGGGGGTGAGTTTTGAGATAGACTTTTAACTAAAAATTAATTAAGAATCCTATGTGACCACTTGTTTTTTCAAAATTCAGTCTGAGGTTTAACATTATCAGCTTTCTCTGCTGCACTGAAAGTCAAAGTTGGGCTGCATCACTTACATATCCTGGTTTACTGTTCGCTGCCAAGGGGGCATGATTCGGTATGACTCATTCATCTC